CTACTACTACTACTGCTACTACTACTATTCCTACTATTCCTGCTCCTGCTTTGGGGGTGGCTTTGCCACAAAACTCTACCCCGCAAAAGGCGAAAGTTTGGCGAAAGTTCAGCTCAAGATTGGCGAAAGTTCACCCTGCCACATCTGACCCCCAGCCCATTATGAATAAGTTTCGGTGACCGGCTACTTCAGTGATTCTTGCATTTTTGACTCTTGCTGACACCCAGGAGAAACAAAAGAGACGTACAGGGTGTCAACAGTTAAGTAGAAGACACATGCTGACAAACAGTGAAATTTCTATTTTGTGTTTGCCAGTAAAGAAGAAGCCATTGACGTGAACAAAACACAACATACATGGCACACATAAATACAACGTACTTCGGCGAAAGATAAAACGCAGGAAGGCGAAAGTTTGGCGAAAGTAAATTTTTTTTTGGCGAAAATGACGGATCCCGGATAAAGGAATTTAGATCAACTCCCATATATATATATATTATAAGTATATTGTATAAATTTGTATAAACACTTATCTATATAGTTGTTCGCCAAGTCGCTTCACTCTCCAATTCTCTTTGTTGTTGGATCCTGCATCCGGGACCTCGAGGATCCAACCAAACTGGTAACTAACTTACTATCGCCAGTGCCATGCGGCCGGGCCGGGCAAGGTGAAACCTGGGTGCAGGTGTTCCTACAGATATGGTGGCGCCTTGGCACTATCAATCTCAGCTTCTAGCTTCCCAGACCTCAATTCTTTTCTGAAGTCGCTGCACTTTGCTAGGGCAAACAGGAAAACAAAACCATCAACAACTGTTAAACAACCTGGTTGCACAATTCGACGCATTTTGCAGAAGTTGTCGCGCAGGTGTCGTCATCCCACCGCAGGCCAAGTGATATCGCTCATAGTATCGAAATCTTCTTGAGTCTGGTTTGATCGCAGTGAGTTCAGCGTCTAATGGTGAATGATTTCAGGAGTTCCCTCCTTGGATGACTGACCTACTCCGAGCCCCAGTCATGTTTGGGTTCGAGATAGCGCAGTGGAAGTTGTTCGAGTCTCACTTTTCTGCTTAATCGCTCAAACATGCGACCCGTGACAATGATGGTGCGCTCGTGCTAATGACCTGTAAATCATAGGATGACATGAGGCACTTGACACTCCCGCAGTAAGCTTCGTGCGCAGTTGTCAAAAGACCAAGCAAGAAAAGCCGGTCAAACTATTTCGATCGACTTATGTCAGCGGTTTCCGTTGATGCCTCTCTACTACAGCATGCTGCAGCATATCATTCTCTAATTGCTATTATATAGTGCCGTTCACCTCAATTCATAGCAGGTCTCGCATAGTCGCATAGGTGGTCGTTTACCCGCCCTTTTGCATCTCAGATATTTCAGAAATTTTTCGGCCGAAGCAAGGACGAGGCCTGTGCAACTTTTCAGTGCCAGGAACCTACATGCCCTACTGTGGCAAGAAGAATGAAGATGAGTGGCCCAATACCCAGATTCGCTTTGACTATATCCAACCTAAGAGCGATGGCCTCCAACCTACTGCAAAAGGCGCCTAATATATAGGAATGCCTCCAACCTACTAGCGATGGCCTCCAACCTACGTCGCAATTTGGAGATGTGGAATACACTTAGGCCGGACAGTTGCAACGTCAACCTCTATGAGGATGGGTCCCACGCTGTCGGCTGGCACACTGACGATGAGGCCGAATGAGCAAAATTCCCGGCCGTCGGCAGCGAATCAAGTTGAAGTTCTCAGGATGTGGAATAATGGAACCTAAAAGCTCAACACACTAATCAGATCTAATCAGACATAATCAGACATATGATAATGGATTTAATGGAACCTAATTAAAAGCCCACACAAAAATATATATATATATATAATTCATATATCTAGAGAGAGTAATGAGACATAATGAGAGAGATATGATGCGACAACCAAGGGTGAATCACAAAGTCAGTTGAGAGGCCTTATTCCAGAGTCTCCACGAAGATGTGGCGATTGTTTCGCTGCAGCTTGGCTTCGGCATCATTGAATCATGCACCTGGTGAACACGTAAGCATCATGCAGTCTAGCCCATCACACGATGAGAGAAGATGCCAGATGAAATTTCCAGTTGTCAACTTGCTTATTCAAATGCTTGGTAGCCAGAACCCGGTGAAATCTCATTTCATGGCCCGGGCCCAACTCCAGGAACTTGTATTCATTTTCTCAGGTCTCTCGGACAAGCGAGAAAGTTTGACTTGAAAAAGAATTGGCCGGAGGACTTGAAGAGACATAGGAGCAAGGACGCTACTAGGTGGAGGCCATCGCTATTAGGTTGGAGGCCATTACTGCTAACAAGAAGCTACTAGTAACAAGAATTTAAATGTTGTCAAGTTGAGTTGTGCTGTGTTCAAACTTTTGCTTGCCCCGGCTTGCATTGCTGCCAGACCCCCGACAAGGAGGGTGAAAAAGTCCAAGAGCGCCTCCACTTGGGCAATGGTGCTTGGTCCAAGCTGGCTAAGCTGAATAGCCACACAGTTCCTACTACAGCTAATTGGACAAAACTAACATACAAAGAGGCTCCTGGAGGTAAGGAGCTGTGCCATGAGACGCTGGATCATCCAATCCGCTCGTGGCAGTAGATAATGCCTTGTAGTGCGCAATGCGCTGGAGAGTATTTGTCCTAAGCTTCTGTGCACAGAAGCTCTTTGATTTATCAAAGCTGCCTCTGTCCCCAGGTGCCTTGGCAACCATGGAGGCCTTAGTTCTCATCCAAGCATCCAGCTGAACTTGGCAGAGCACCACTCACAGTGTTCCGTCTCATGTACTGCATATAGTTTTGCATCAGGTCATGTGTTGTCAATTATTGAACTGGGCCAAAAAACCTTTTTTTTGCCAGGGAATGCTGCAGAAGCACTACATGCACCGGGTTGCCAGAGAGGATGAGAGCCTTGGCCCTCTCCTTGGACTGTATGGTTCTACACGTGTGCTGCACAGGGTTTTTGCTTGCCGATCCTCTCGTTCTTTGTTGTGCATGCACTTCCAAATTGCAGGACTTCTAGCCTGAGAAAGCATCCTCAGGCCCTCGCATCAACCTCACATGGCGTTGGATCAAAAAACACTCAAAGGCTGGACAGTGCAGTTGTTTCAAAGGCCCTTCACCCATCATTTCCGCTATAGGACCATCTTGTAGAAACCCATTTTTGAACGCAAAGTTCATGTTGCATATGTTATTTAAAAAAAATATATATATACATACTTGCGGCCAGTCTGCCAGGCCTGCCCGAAAGCACGAGGCTGAGCCGAGAGCAAAGCTTTTTCCGCTAGAAAACTGGCCAAGATTTGCAAATCATGGTTCTTAGACCATGATGCCTCTTGCCAAAACTGCTGTGCATCGAAGCGATCTGGAGTAGACTGCATCAATTGAGTATAATTCTCAATGAAATTGTAGTTAGACATAGTCATAGTCAGATCAAGCGAAGCAACCCATCCTGAGAGCACAGGACCAACAAAAGCAGACAGTCACTTACTTGCGAGCTTCGTCGGCTACAAAAGGGTGTTCTGAGATGTGTTAATTCTGCACAACTGCAAAACGGGGGGCCCGTATCCAGAAGTGAAGCGCGCAGCAGCAAATTGTAGGCAGCTTCCGTGGTCTCACACTTTGCGGTTTGGAGCTGTTGTTCGTTGTTCCTGCAAGTCTGCAATGCCAGTCAGAAGTCGTATGGCCGGGGAAGTCCGTTTTACTCATGTCCATATGCCTTACTAGTAGCTTCTTGTTACTAGTAGCGATGGCCTCCACCCTGGTAGCGATGGCCTCCACCCTAGCAGCAATGGCCTCCCACCTAATAGCGATGGCCTCCAACCTCATAGCGATGGCCTCCATTCTGAGAGCGATGGCCTCCAACCCAATAGCGATGGCCTTCAACATCCTCCAACCTATATAATAGCAACGGTCTCCAACCAAATAGCAATGGCCTCCAACCTAATAGCGATGGCCTCCACCCTAGTAGCAACGGCCTGCAACCTAATAGGGATGGCCTCCAACCTAATAGCGATGGCCTCCTACCTAATAGCGATGGCCTCCAACCTAATAGCGATGGCCGGCCTCCGCCCAAGTAGCGATGGCCTCCAACCTAATAGCGATGGCCCCCAACCAAATAGCGATGGCCTCCAACCTAATAGCGATGGCTTCCAGCCTAACAGCATCTAACAGCGATGGCCTCAAACCTAATAGCCATGGCCACCACCCAAGTAGCGATGGCCTCCAACCTAATAGCGCAGGCCTCCAACCAAATAGCGATGGCCTCCAACCTAATTGCGATGGCCTCCTACCTAATAGCGATGGCTCCAGCCTAATAGCGACGGCCTCAAACCTGATAGCCATGGCCTCCAACCTAATAGTGATGGCCTCCACCCTAGTAATAGCGATGGCCTCCACCCTACAGTAATAGCGATGGCCTCCAACCAGCGATGGCCTCGACATGCCTCGACCCTAATAGCGATGGCCTCCAACCCAATAGCGATGGCCTCCACCCTTGGTCGTGGCGTTGGAGCCAGTTTTCTCCTCGGTGTTGGAGCTCGATAGCGATGGCCTTCAACCTACTCGCTTCTTGTTGCTAGTTGGACATTGTAGGATTGAACTGAAACACTGACTCTTCGGAAGTCCCCTCACTATCCCTCACTACCTATTCCACAGTGCCAGACTGCATTAGATCGATGTAGGCTAGCAGTCTTAGCGGTCGCAAGACTCCAAAGGGCTGCACAGTTCGTGAGTGGGAGGCAGCAAAATTGCAGGATGAGTGCTTGCAAGCGTTGTGGATTGGCAAAGATATTGGCAAGGTCAGAAAACAAAACCCTCAAGTACGATTTGACGGCTCGGTGATCCAAGTTTCAATTCTTGGATGCATTCTCAAAACTCTATGGACTGGGCGTAGCAAGTTAAGCTGGACCACTCCTGAATTGGTCCAGGGCATGCCCCGCTTGTTCGGATCCTCCTGGAGAATTCCTTTTCTAAAGACAGTGTCCACATTGATGTACATTCCTAATCCTAACAATGTTGAAACATGTTGAAACTTAGCCAAATGTTCTTCTGAAAGGGACGCATATGGCATAAGGCCACAAAGGCTGATGATGGGACAGGGAGAGGGCCATGTGACATGTGGATGAATCTACTACAAGACTTGTGCCGTCGATGGTGCTCGCAAGAGGCAATACTGTGTTATTTAGAGAGCGCCAACGACCAGTACTTAGAAGGTTTTGAGTCCTGAGGATGAAATTTGTAATTGCTGGACAACCCTTATATTGTCAAAAAAAACCATCACGACGCATTGATTGTGCTTTGCCCTTTTGGCTTGGGTAGAACTTGGTAGCAAGACCTCGTTATGCCGGCGGCTTAGAGACAGAGTTTTTGTCATGCCGTCGGAGCACAAGCGTTTTTAGATACTGTAGGTGAAAAGCCTTGGCATACCGAGTGAAGAAGCACGGATGGAGTGACAGTCACATAACAGAGCACGATGAGAAGTCCAGCTCTTGTGCTCTCCAGTCTTGAATTGTTTGTTGCGGTCTCCCGGTCACAGTGGTGGACAGGTGCACAGGTCAGGTTTTTTGAGCTGCAATGGGCCCCCCAACAAGTAGATCCAAGGAGCCCAGACTATGGCGGAGGACGATGATGGAACTGCACTTCAAGTGGTTGCTGGGCAGTCTTGCAAGCATATAAAATTAAAAATTCAAGGTCTTCCGTTTTGCAATTTGATTTCCATTTGGAGTCTCATGATGCCTCATGTATTTTTCGATATTTTTTGCGAAGTACAAAGCCGAATGCTGCGAACGAGATGAACAGTTGGTTTCGCATCGACAGCTATTTGATATTTGCCATCCAGGTGAAGGAGGACAAGGACCATGAGATCTTGGACACCCTCGACACCGAGGCCGTGGACTGATGCGGACGGACAAGATTCTCATACTAAGGCCGTAAGCCCCGTAACTAGTAGCGATGCCTTTGTTACTACTACTAGTTACAATTGTGCTGCTACAATCCCGTTCAGTTCTGGTTTGGCCCTGTATCACGTTGTCGACCTGTTGACGGTATACGTGGGTGTTTGTGAAAAATAGACAACTTCTCTTTCGATAAGGGCAACTGGAGAGATAATTGATTCGGTGGTTTGGGTTGGTTGGTGGTTTGGATTTCTGGGATCAGCTCCAAGGATCGGCAGTACTGGAAGCTGAATCAAAAACCATCAGCCCAAACTATATGAATGAATGCATCAACTTTCGGACCTCAATTGCACGACCGACCTTGAGGGAACCTGCGTTTTCACGCGTTCCCGTGGCGCTGTTGCAGAGAAAGGCCTGTGGCTACACGGCAGCAGAAAGAGATGTTTGACAACCTAGACCCTGATCAACCCATATACCGCCTTATCATTTCTAAGCTATGCGGGACAGGGTGAAGGGGACGGGTAGACACGCTGACATGCTAGGTAAGATCTTTGTTGATGTATGAATTGCATTGTGTTTCATATTTCCAATTTACAATGGCTTGTTGTAGTTGTATTGTTTGGCCTGTGGTAGTTCATCAACAGTTCATATTTTACTGTAGCTCGCTTCACCAGCTGAACCAGCAAAGGCAGCTGAGGAGGTTTCTGCTTAAACGCAGAGGGAACACGATAGAATCCTTCCGGCAGTTGACTGAGGCATAGATATGTCCATGTTTGGATGCTCAACCTGCCAGACAGTCACTTGGCATTTCTATTTGTCACTTGGGGTCTCCAGGTGCATCTGATTTTCCAGTTCCGAGGTTCCCTGCTGATGCAACTTCGGGCTCCAGCTGCTTGGACCAACTCATTTATATAGTCATTTTGCTTTGGACTTGCTTGTTGTCAGTACTTCTGAAATCCCATGCATGCTGACGGCAGAGAGCCGCCGTATAGCATGGAAAATGGGAATCTTGTCAAGACAGAGACAGAAGCACTGGTGGAAACATGAAACATGTTGAAACAATGTTCACCAGGAGAAGAAACGCTTTGCCGGCATGTGGAGCTGCAACTCGTCCCACCGTGTGTCATGTTTAGTGCCAGGGGAGGGTTAATATCAAGAGTCAAGAGTCTTGGTGGGCTTTAACAAAAGTATGTGCCAAATGGAACCCATTGGCATCAAACACAGACTTCCACTCCAAACCAGCCACAAACAATCGCATTGTGATGATTTGCTGAAGATCGGATGTTTGTATTCATTACAATTGCCAGTCTTGTAGAATCAGTGCGGGCTGAGCAGTGCGGTTGAATCCGTCATTGTGGTGATTGAGACAGAAATGACGCATGAATCAATTGTTATCATTTTTGTTGTAGTAGGCTAGTCGAGATGAATCTTTCTCAGCAACTGAGGCACTACTGGCTTCGTAATGTGCCGTCCTCAGACAACTTGGTGACAGGATGCAGCCCTTTCAATAAGACATCACCGCTGCCCCATGTAAACAAAAATGCGTGGAGGAACCCCATTAGTGCGAGTCAAAAGTGCAGAAACCACCACATTGATGGCCCAGGTCTGGTTTGCCATCTTTAGAAGCGAGCAACAGGATCAGCACTTGAATGCATTGTTTTAAACCGGAGGTAACGAGCGGCGACCAGCCGAGAAGAAGGCAGCACGATGCAACAAGGTGATTGAAGATGAAACAATGAAGGTGAAGTGGCCCTGTGCAAGTTTTTTTTTTTTGCGCAGCTTAGTGGCTTAGCGGCTTAGTAGCCACCCAGCCTGAGGTAAGCTTCACCTGGACAGAGAATGTGGTCTTCGATATGAAGATCATATGTACGAGTTTGTTTTTAGCCCCGAGGCCGAATACTTATTACACCCTTGTTTCTTTTGATGTGTTGTTTTTGGGTGTTCTGGATTATTCTGGCTACTCTGGCCATTCGACTGAGCATGCATGAGTATGAGAATGCATGGGAACTCTACATATAGTCAGTTAAGGTATCATGTCATGGAAGACTCAAATTTGCTTTGCACTGGTGGTGCATTTTAACATGTTGTAACTCACCATCAACACTAATCTCAGAGCAGGGAATCGTCATCCTGACATCCACCAAAAACCCTGAGTCAGATGCAGGAATGCAAACTGTTCAGTATCAGCAAAATTCTGACAATCAAGAACCCAACTGCTGTAAGCCCACAGTTGATGTGCGTTGGCCTTGAGAAGCTTTTGCAGAGCCTAGGCTGCAAAAATATGTATGTCATCAACGGCGAGGAGGTGAGACAGCTGACTCCCAGCTGAATGACACGAACAAAAGTGAAGCGCCTGCACCTTGTGACAAAAAGTGAAGCGAACAAATTGCAATCAAATTACAATCGGTTGACACCGGTGTACAGTAAGTCTTTGAAGATGTCGTGAGACCATCACTCTGTTCTCCCAAGGATCGATGTCTACGTGATTGCGCTGCTCCTTGATGGCATTTGTTGGGAGGAATTGCAGGGTCACCAGTGTAATGAGGTGGCTAGATTCCAGACAACTGAACCAATTGAAGCAAATACAACATTTAGAACGTGGTGCGTATGCTAACATGAGGAAACATCCACCTGAGCTCGACAAGGACTGGCGCGCAATGATGACGATGGTGAGGATGTTTCTGACTACTTTGTGATAGCTTGTGTGGAGTGGACTGTGGCTAGTTGTGGGTCCACGTTTTGCAAGCTTACGGCTGGGAGAGTTACTACAATCCACTTGGAGGAGTTGGACAGATTTGTTGGGAATGTTAGCTTGCCAGCTGTGCTCTTTTTGGCCTGGCCTCAGGACCTGGTACCTCAGGACATCAAAGAAGTCACCGAGTTGAAGTACATAGGTGATAGGGCAGGGAGGGAGGTTGTGAAGAGTGTGTTCGGGGAGCCAGGGGTTCGCAATGACTTCGAAGCATTCTCCACTTGAACTTTTGAGATGGCATCGGTGATCGGATCAATTGAAATGCATAGCATAGTGTATTGACGAAAGGGTATGCAGAATAAACTAGATTGAGCAAAGGGCATAAGGCATAAGGGGTATATCTATATATATTTTTGTTTGGAAGTTAGTAAAGCGCGATGTCTGCACGAGGCCTATCGTGGGCCGACTATACAATTTGTTGATTGTGTTCTTGTGTGAAAAGTGAAAACTGTTGATCATGTTCTTGTGTGACAACTCTCGACACCAATACATGTGCTGTTCCAGGATTGGTTGCTAAGTTGTTTGGCGATGTTCTATAATGTAATTAATGTGTTTTTTCCTCTCCGGACAGGGTGCAGCTAAGGTCTAAGGTTACTGCAATAGGACTAGCACACTAATAACCAGCCTGACGCTTTATTCATGGTTTCATGTGAAGTCATGCAGACCGGACAGTTTGCGTTCAATACGGTAATATGTGCCGCCCATCCAGATGTCAGGAATCGGAGAGCTGGAGCAGGCGTACAAGAATCAGTTGGAGCACCGAGCGGGACAAGGTTTAACACAAGCGACAACTTGCATGTTACTGCTCTGAAACTACTTCCAGAAGCTGAGGGATCCAAACTTTGTCCTCACCGCAGCACCCGAATATCCGTCTTGCCCTCACATCAAAATCATCTTCTTTGGGAGTTGCTCTTGCCGTTTCTACCATGTCTACCAGATCGTTCCAAGGAGAAGACTCTTCCACTTCCTGCATAAGAAGACTCGCATCTACTGGGAGATGCTTCCAAAGATCGACTCTGATGAGGAGCGCTGCAAGCGGCAGCCTGCAGCATGCCACTCCGAGAAGACGCGTCCGCCAGTGCCAAACTGTCCTTCGTGCAGGAGCGGCACAACAAGAAAGGACAGCAACTGCTGGATCGCATTGGCGATGTGAGCATGCTCCGGAAAGCACAGGATCTGGGCGCGCCTTGCCCAACAACTACATACAGTAGCATAATAACAGATGTGCATGTTTAAGGCTAGCTTCAACAGAGTTCATTTGAGCCTTTTGATGCTTTCTTCTCCAAGATTGATATTTTGCATACTTGATATGCAACACTATGCAACAAACCCTTTTGCATATTATAGAACCCTGAAGAGTTTTAAACGTATCTGTTCTTGTGCTGCAAGCACCAAGCACCCCAGCAGCCATATTTAAGGCCGAGAAAGGTACATACGTACCCATGCAATTTAATTTAAGTTTGCATGCACTGGCACCCTCTCATCATCTCTCCTCTCTAAGGTAATCGTTGAGCCCTGCAAGAGGATTGATGCCTACAGCGAGTGCCTGGGTTTCATGGTGTCAGTGACGGCAGATACAAGAGCCAGAACGGGGCTAGAGCAGATCGGAGGCACGATTTTGCCCAGTTGTCCCGTGGTGCATGTTTCAGATGTGTACAGAGTCGGGAAGATTGAGAAGGCTGCACAGAAAGTCCTAGCTTGTGCTATTTCCGCTCGCATGTGGCTTCAGATAATGTAGGCGATCTTCCATTCAGAATGTCCAATGTTCAGCTGCCCAGGGAGAGTTTTTGTTTTAAAAGCAAGTTAGTTTCAGAAGGCAGGCTCAATGACCACCTACTGGCAGGCGGGATTCCATAGCTACAGCATTGATATCTTAGTCACCGAGCCATAGTTGTACTCTTCCCGATTCCAGTGCCGAGGAGCGTATGGCACAGAGCAGTTCATGCCCTTTAGCTGCAGGGTTGAGGAGCAAATCAGGTTCAAATGAACAATAGTGCACTTTTAGCGAGCAAAGACCCAGACAGCACAAGCCTGAGCTGCAAGGTTTGGGTGTTCGATGCCGAGAACTGTCGGCTATTGATTCAGATTCTTTAGCAGCACTGGCCGAGTGATTGTTGGGTCTCAATCGCATTTTGCCAGAATTTGGTTTGGTACAGATGCACTCATTGACTCATCTTGCAAGATTTCGGGCATGCGGTACTATATGGTGATTACATTTGTTTAGAAAGGCACATGATGTTTATGGTCACAATGTGGCTGCCAAGGAAACGTTCGCCAAAGAAGCGGCACTTCGGAGGAAAGTGGAATTGTTCCACTGGACACATCAAGATGGGAACCTTAGCGCACAGCATCGGCCGTCCGAGACAAACTAGGACTTTCAAACATTGGGCTTCAGTAGCAAGAAGCTACTTGCATGTTCAGCAGAAATTGACAAACTCAAGATTGGACCGGATCGGAGATGCATCCACAATATCTTGCCCGTAGTGTGCAAGTCGGCAAGGCCAGGTTAGACGGAGGTCGGGTTGGACAGGCTCAACTGGCGGACAGATCGATGAATTCATGGGCAAGACACGTCAAGGCCATTTTATGTCCTACAATGTCTTATGTTTACGTTTACCAGGCACGAGACGGGGAGTGTTTCATTTGTTGGCATGACGCCAGATACTACTGAAGTGACTGGGGCTGGGCGATCACTATTGTAGAACTCTGTCGTAGGTCATGTCAATGACTGGACGTCGCTGTGCACGGTGTGAAGAGCTGTTCAGGCCCAACACACTGCCTTGTACACAGCTCAAGCCACCTTCCATATTTTCCCACAGGCCATCACAGTCCCAAATTCTACCACTGCCTTTGTCCCTTAAACACGGTGTGCCGTACAAGGGCTTGTTTCCTCAAGGCTGGACAAAAGCAGTTGCAGCGCGACCACTGGTTGAAACTGCATACGGGCAGTGAAGTTGGGCCACAGTGTGTGCGCCGGGACGCGATGACACAGTGCAGGCCTTCTTTCCTTCCCGTGCGGTGATGGAGACTTACATGGTTCTGGTGCTGTGGCATCGGCGTAGTGATCCTTGTGATGGCGAATCACGCTTTCATGACCTGAAAAGCTTCTTGTTTTATCTTGTTTTGAAAAGCTTACTCCGACCTTCAGATCGTGCACCCAACAGCAAGGGTGGAAAACTGCCCAAGCATGTCCAAGCGGAGTCCAAGCGCCATTTGCCCGCAAGTAAGTATTTGAGCCCCCGTCGCAATGAGCAAACAGACACCTGTCCACAGACTTGTGATTGGCAGTTTGGCATAGTTTGGCACGGTGGTAGCATGGAAGCTTATCCAAACATTGGCAACCACATAATGAAGTATCATGAAAGGATGTCATTCATGGCGCAAAGACGGACGGCCAGCTCAGCACCGGTTTGCAAACTGGGCCTCAATGTCCATGGCGGATCTTAAAGGTGGACAATGGCGGACACTTTTCTACACGTTCTAGCTCAGCAGGGGTGACAGCTGACTACTGTAGTATCGGCGAGGGATCGACTGCAAGCTTGGCCGCCTTTCCAGACTTGAGAGTATGTTGGTGTTTTTTTGAAGTGGAAAGGGTGTCATCCCTGGCCCATGGCTAGGGACTTAAAGGCTACCCCAGCACATGGGTTCCAATGGTTTCCAAGCATGTTGACCAGCCAAGGAGATCCTGCGTTGCCGACAGCAGTCAAATCTGTGCCCCAGATATTGATCACTTGACTCATCCGTTCTTTTTTGGCTTTTCGGTCAGGAAGACATTTGTTTTTCCTGCCCACTGCCTCAGGTAAAAGATGATATCGGGCTCACTGATGTTTCCGAGAACGACTTAGATTATATTTTCCAGGCCCTGAACATGGAAGACTTGGGTTCTTCTACTCTTCGCATCTCTTCGCACTATACTATATATTCTATAACTGTGTATACATATACACATACACAGCACACTTGATTTTGGGCTTCGTTTTAGACAGACTCAAGATTGCTTCGTCCAGAAGCCCATTTGCAGAGCCGCAGCATGCCACGCCTGCGCAGACCTTAATCGAAATGGACACTGGTGGTGACTGCTTCGTGAAACAGGTGGTGGATGTGTTTGTGTAACTTGGTGGCAAACAACATTCCTGCTCTGTCGGACGAACGCTTCGTGGGTTGCGTCGAATCAACAAAATACACCGACAACGCATCATCTACATAAGTTTCCCTAAAGATCTAGGAACCAAATTATTAGTGGGAGTGCTATCCTGCGTCCAGTTATATTGCTTACTAACTCAATTGAGTAGTCGTCTACTTATATAATTGATTAAGGAGGCAGGGCCACGTGCAACAAAAATGACCCACAGCTCCTGCACCAAGGCTTGAAGTCCCAAATCAGGCGCTGACAGGTTGCTGCTAGTTGCTGCTGTTGCACTTTTCTGTGTCAGGCAACGTACACCGCAGTGCCAGAGATAGAGTAGCTCACAAAGATGACAATGGACAGATTTGTGTACGTAGCTTTTCAGTCTTTCAATCACAACTGAGGAACTTTTCCTTGGCAAGAGGTGAAGTTGACAGAGTTGCTTATATTGAGTTGGACCAGCTTCAGGGCTGCAAACATGCGCACAATTGCACAGTCATAGTCGTACTCTCTCATTAGCCAACTCAGGGGTGAATGATTAGACTTCGAGTGATTGGGGGTGCTTGACTGCGCTTTCCGGATAAGGTTGAGAAAGATATGGGAAGCCACTCCTCCGCCTCCTGACTACGTGGTGCCTTGAACTGGTGTTGGGATAGTTTTTTTGGTTGCAGTTTGTCAGATGATGAACAGGTAGTTTTGACATGTTTGGGATTGTTCAAATGCTCATGATTGCCTGGTAGTGCAATGGAGCTGCGGAATAATCCAGTGGGATCGTAGCTTATGCTGTGCGGAGAGGGAGTGAGAGAGAGAGAGAGAGCGAGAGATAGAGAGAGAGAGAGAGAGAGATAGAGATAAAGAATGACTTGACACTCTTCAGAGAACGAGCACTACAGTGCATTTGCTGGTAGAACTTTGCTGATTTGTGCGGTAGCTGAGGTCTTCCCTTCCGATGACTACAGCACTCGTTTTTTCTTCAACCTTAGGCAGAGGCGCCTCCCACTGATCATCGCACGAATGCTCAACCTAGCCAAAGACTTTGCAAAGTGGAGGCATAAGAAGTACCAGGAAAAGCTGGCAGCGGAGGAGGAGGGAGGTGAGGTTTGACCTGCACAAATGGCCTGACTTTGCGGCTCAAATATTGGTGCTGCAGTTTGTTCTGTTCGCAGACATTAGCGAGGCCATTTCTAGATCGATGATCGGGCGATGCTGGAAAGACAGCACTGCCAGTTTCACGAGGCATCCCGCTGATGCGAAGGAGCGTCTCACCAATCCTCACCACAAGACGTGGGCAAAAAAGTTGTCAAGTGTTCTTGACTTTGATGATAGGCACCAGTAGCTATGAAGATTGTGGCAGATTGGTTTTGTTCCTTTGTCCCGCTGTCGCCTACGGTTGCTGTATTTGTTACATCGTGATGTTTCGGCCGGCAGCGTTGAATTGCTTCGCTCCCGCACAGCACAAGTGCCCTTGACGTCGACGTGCAGAGAGGCCTTGGCCATCCTTGGCCCTCCCCTTTTCTTGTTTTGGTTTGAGTTTATTAGGTGCTTGCCGTTCTTTGTGACATGGAATCGCACATCAGCACCTCCCTAGGTTCTCCGGTGAAATGGCATTCGTTGCACCTGCTGTCTTGGGCCACGGAGGCTGGTCACTTTGAGGCGTTTGATTTTAAAATCTGCTTGACTGAAGTGCAGGACGTGCATTTCAAGCGACACCACCACCACCGGCAGGAACCCCGACAGATCATGGCACAAGCGTGCTGATTTCAGCCAGATTGACTTATGATTTTGTATCGTCAGTGATTCATTGATTTTGGTGTGTGTTGGCATCAGTGTGGGGCCAAAGACACACTGTGGAATTTGCCAGGACGTCCTGCTGCGCCACCACTGGAGAATGGAGTTGAATTCCGGATCAAGGCCATTTCCAACAACTATATACTGCAGTTGTTGTCGTGGGTCGTAGGCCGTTCGCCAGCTTGAAGATAGTACTGTAGATAGTGTTGTCGCTTCCGGCATCCTTCGAGAGTCAGCACACTCGCTTTTTTAACCACAGGAGAAACGTGCAGAACTTTGACAGGACACCCTTTTACATCTACAAAAAAAAGCCTTTAGGTTGGAGGCCATCGCTATTAGGTTGGAGGTCATCGCTATGTTGGATGCCATTGCTATTAGATCTAATTATTAGGTTGGAGGCCATCGCGATTAGGTTGGAGGCCATCGCTATGTTGGAGGCCATCGCTATGTTGGAGGCCATCGCTATTAGGTTGGATGCCATCGCTTCTATATAGGTATCTGCAACGAGCGAACTGGGGAAACGAAAGTGTGGACCTGGGGACCTTGACCGATCCCTCCCCAGCATTTGGAGCTGACCTTCGCTCCTTTGACTTGCCGTGTGTGCCAACTCAACTCCAATTTGTTCCAAAGGTTTGTAGTGGTCCAGCTCCAATCCTTCAAGTATCCATCCCCTTTTCCATCTCCAGCAGTTTCCTCAGAGTCTTTGTTGCAGGTGGATTTGTTTTGTGATTTTTGTTGCTTGTGATTAGTGACTGGGCTCACTGGATAGTGGATATCGGCGGCATTTGTTGTCCTGCCACTGCTTCGCTGTCAGGTGGGTTTATGTTTTTTTGTTTGAAGATGCCAAGTTCAACTCAAATGCACTGGCAAAACACCTGAAGTGGGAAAGTTCTCTGTGTAGCATGCCGAAGGGAGTAGAGTCTCGCCGAAGGATTGTGCCTTTTTTGCTTTGAGCTAGGGCGGCTGACATACACCATGCTTCTAAAATGACCCGGATGCAAACAGTTAAATGTATTGAAGTAAATTGAGACATTGCCATTACATGTGCCAGAGAAATCAGACGCCTATGAATCGACAGCTGCAGTTCAATTTGACAAGACAGCTTTTGTTCGGGGAGCTCCAGGAGCATGTGTTTGATGGCGCGAAAGAAGCAAGACTAGCTGTGACTAGCTGCCTGTGCAGGGCTCTTCTACACTGTCTATGTTCCTTTGTGCAGCTGTCGTGGCAACTGGAGCGCAGAGGCAGGAAGTGAAGTGCGGGCAAAACTAAGGCAACCATGTTATGTAATATATATATATATTTACTATTTCTTCATATATATGATTAGATATGCCAATGAATCATGGTCGCAATGCCAACTGCCAGTCGCACTATAATCTTCAGCGAATTGCGTGAAAGAATGAGCACTGTAAATCTTGCTGAGATTCTACTCAGCAAGCAAGAAAGTAAGCCGCATGCAGGCAATGCAAAAGGCACGCCAATCAAAGCTGTCTTGGACCGTCGAAAATGTTCGTTCCTGACAGGTCGGGAATTTTGCGGCGGTCTCGGGACTCTTGGCTGGCATCACGTAGTTCAGTTAGCTTGAAATTTTGACATTTGCTTGTGACTACTGCTGTCTGACTTGAGAGGGCAGACAAACGATAAGGCCAGGATCCTGCGAAGAGGCACAGGAAGTGCTGCTACATCAGGATCTTGCTGCAGGAAGTCGCAGTGCTTGCACCCAGACAAGCCCGCAATGTTTGCA